CAGGAATTCCAATATTGATTTGTTTTTCCTGCAGTTGTTGGCACACGAAATCGATAGTCTCTGTTAACGGTACATTGGTGAACAGGGAAACAACATCTAAAGATATCATTCGTTTCCCATTTAAATTTATATGTTCCACTATAGAGATGAAATCGAAGACGTCTTTCACACTTCTATTGACGACTAATTTGTGTAGGGGGTTTAGGATACGAACTAGCCACTTTGCAGTTTTATGATACGGCGAATTATACATATCTAAAACTGGGCGAAGAGGAAGACCTGTCTTGTGAACTTTAGGTAAACCATATATTCGCGGTGTGTTCGATCCAGTAGGCTTGAGTGAGTCATGTAACTCATGAGTAAGAATACCTTTATTTTTTAATTCCTTCAGTGAGTTAGTCAGCAATTTTTCTGCCTTCATATTTATGTCCTTAACGTTGTTGAGTTTCTGAAATTTAGTCGGATCATTCAAAATTACGTTCATTTTATTAATGTAATCAGCTTTGTTCATAAGAACTAGCCCCCTCCTTTGTCCGGCTTGCTTATGATTAGAGTATTGTCGTTTCGAAGTGCATGTAAAGCATCTCGGTGCTGTTTGGTAAGTGGCGTTTTCGCTGTACATTTACTATTCTTGTATTGTTGGCAGATGTCCACCAACGTGGTCTTAAACCTGGTTAGTTCATCAGGAGAAGTAGGCACCAAATCTGTCGTTTGTGTAAATAAATTTTCAAACTGCACATCTGTATCTAGTTGGTTTATTTTATTACTATAGTCACAAAACCTAGGGCCGAGTGACAATGCCTCTACTTGCAATGCGTCTAACGCAACACTAGAGAAATTATGAACGTACCGCTCAGGGTCCATAGGAAAATTTCTTTCAGGTTTATGAGGTTCCAGTGACTGAATTAGTTTTGTCCCCAGTTTTTCTGATCTACTTTTTGCCACCATGTTATTATAATCCATAAATTGTGATTTTATTTCCAGTGGTAGGTTATCGAGCATATATTCTCTTTGTGAAGGATTTCTTTCCAGATTGTTTATGTGTAATTTTAATGAATCCGTTTGGTTAAGTGCATGCCGTTTAAGGGTTCTGGCATTCGGATAAACTTTGTTCCGGCGTAAACATTTCCAATATATTTTAGAATATCTATCATTCCGCATACAATCATTAATAAATTCGTTTTCATTGTTATCATCATTGACCTATAAACTACCTTGATTGGTTTAATTCATTTCGTATATGCATATAAATACATTACTGTATATTAGAGTAAAGCCTGATGTTGTTTTAAATTTACAATATGGGAATATTTCAAATAATGATAAGTACAATGACCGTTATAGATATATATGTGAACTTTCGATAAAACAATGAGAAGACGGAGTTGATCTGAAAACATTGCTGATGTATTTGCGATATACATTTCGAACAATCTGGTCACACACATATACTTGTCAAGGCATTTTTATATGAAAATTAATAAAGGTCAATTCAATGAAAGCTCAATCAGAATAACAAAGGGGATTGGGAGAAAGAATAAGAAATTGTCGCGCTATCCTAGGCCATAGAATGACTTAAGGGTTACCAAGATAAATTCAAGGTTACGACAAGTTGTTTTTGTACACATAAGGGGGTTTTAAATTTACGAATAGCCAAGGCTGCAATAAACTTAAGAATTCGACCTTCACAATTTCTATACAACATTCCAAATGCTATTAATCTTGTGCTCCGTCTCAATTATGTGTTTTGCTATCGATGAACTTGGTTTTCTACCTCCTACATTGATCGGGTCATTTTACACCTACTGATTTTGAAGCCATCTGGGCACATGTTCATTGACCCTTGATTACATTGTTCGATTACTCCTCCCTATGTATGTGTGTCCACACAAACATGTAAATTGGTAAATACAATGCGATGTGACGTAATCATTAATGCATTGTTTTAGTCTATTAGGAATCATGGCCTTAGACTTTTCAATCACAACCAACTGAGCAGCATAATACATATTCTCAATGGCTGCTTTCAATCTCTGTCTTAAAACTATACTGTTTGATTCGCCTCTATATGGTAGATTGATGTAAACCTTTTACTTTGGCACTGAATAAATTATAGGTCTTTGCATTAACTGACTTTTGCACCTATTAATAAACTTGAGTGGATAACCATTAGCTATTAAAGTGTCAGTCAGTAACTTTTCATCTTTTTCCACCATATCAGAGGTACATATTCTTCGAGTCCTCTTAAAGAGGCACTTAACTAGACCTCTCTTGTATTGCAATGGACAGAAACTATGGAAATTTAAGTATAGTCCTGTCCAAGTTGGTTTCCTATACACGGACCGTCTAATAGTGCCATCATCCCTTCGACAAAAAGTATGTCTAGAAAGGCTAATTGGCCATTACTTTCTGGTTCATGTGTCATCACAATATCATTTTGAACATCATTGAGTTTATCCAGTAATCGATAAACATCAAAATCCTTATCACATATAATTAGAATATCGTCCATATATCTTCTATATAAAGTTGTCTCACCAATGAGGTCGCTCGTCATATTTTCCACATATGACATGAATACCTCAGCTAAGAGAGGCCCTAAAGGGCTACCCATAGCTACACCATCAACTTGTTGAAAATATTCACCATCAAACGTAAATTGAACATTAGCTGTACATAATAAAAGTAATTCTTTTAAAAATGGTAACGGAATAGGAAAAAGGGGAAAGTTTTTTGAAATATAGTCACAAAGGAAATCCACCGTCTTTGTTAACGGTACATTCGTGAAGAGGGAGTTTACATCAAATGAATGCAAAGATTTATCTTTAATATTAATGTCACCAAGAATATCAATTAGTTCAAATGTATCTTTTAAAGAGAACTTACATAGATTAGTACGAATTGGGTTTAACAATTTTACTAACCATTTAGCTAGCTCGTGTGTGGGAGAACCACGCATAGACAAAATTGGTCGTAATGGAATATTAGGTTTATGAATTTTAGGTAATCCATATAAATTTGGGAGAACTGAACCCGAAGGTTTTAGTATATTACTCAACTATTGTTATCATTAAGATCAATAATGATTTGATTGGATATTCATCTATCCTCATACGAACTCATATCTGCCTATATTAACTTCAGATTGGATGTTAATGCTTATTGTGAATCCGTTTCTTTTTCTTCACCTATTACTTAATTAAGTAATACGCTACTTGTAATAATATGCCATAAATTAATAAACCTTTATGCATACTGAAATCAATCATTTGGGGGGTGGTTGAGGCGTGGGGTTCTTGTTGACGATTAATTGTTGATGCATTCATTCATTGTAATTGCTTGTTAATATGAAAATGTAAATTGGAAACTTCACTTATGATTCTGACTTTCTGAATATGTATATGGAACATTTCCAAGAAAGCTCGTATTTCATTGAATAATTGATAATGAATATATATTTTATCAGTTTAGGGGTTGTGGACATTGTTAAGTGTTTGATTAAGATGTATTAGAAATATTGCGCCCATCTGCTGAGATCATCAGATAAGTAACAGCGAGGTTAGATGCAAGGTATTAGGGAATGATAATAAGACAGTTGATGAGGTTGTGAATCTTCATCAACTGAGATGGTTGGTACACGTGTTACGTATGCCTGAACACCGATTACCACGACGTGCAATGCTCGTTGGTGTTAGAGATGAATGGAAGAAAGTTAGAGGGGGCCGAACCAAAATGTGGTATCAGTCCATAAAGTCACTAAATTCAAGTCTGATTTATGTTAATACATTCAGAACACTCGCTTAGGAGCCGTGGGACTATCGTAACCAGCAGTGTTGCGAATATCATTAGCTACAAGTAAGAGGCTTGGTTGATTAAAAGTACTCCCTGGAGTGATAGTAAATTCTAATGACGCACGATAAAACCAATAATTCACCATCACCTCATCAGTAGTATATTCAGTTTACACAACGAATTCCCGATCATGCACTCCACTAAACAACAAACTACTGTCGAGCATTTCAGTAGCACAGTGAAGTCAACTAAATATCGTCGGTTTATTTTGTATCGCATTGCATTGCATTTCGTTTCATTCCATTGCGTTACGTTGCGTTGCGTTGCGTTGCGTTGAGTTCCATTGCATCACATCCAGTCGGGTTGCGTTCCATTCTGCTGCACCATCTCCTGGTCTCATAATCCACTCACACACGTGATGGTCACAACTTGACAACTTGATGTCAGCAGCACATCTAAACACTTTTCACTAGTTGCATTACAGAGCAACAACACCAGATATTTGTGCAGGCGAATACAAACCACAATCAGTCAACTCGGTTGACCGCGAATTTCATAAGTAGGACAACATGGATGGAAGTGGTTTAATTTGTTGATGTTTAGAAATTCTGTGATTTTCAATTGACATTGATCAATCAGTGGTTGACCTGACTTGATTTATGCCTACTACTATGTGTATAGTGGATGCAATACCAACAAGTCATCGATGACAATGGCGTAGTTATATGCACTCTTAATCTTTTTAAAGTAGAATATTAAAATCGTCTTATATTTTTCTTTCAGCGATCTAATGCTTTCTTCCTGTATTATATGCTTATATGTAATCTTTTTTTATACATTTCTACCACTCTTATTAATTCAGTTTTCATCTTGCTGTGCTAATGTGTTATGGCAACTTGGACCGATGCCTGGTACTACGATGTATTATCGAACTGACTAACTGTTCAATGATCATTTTCATTTCAAGTCAAGACAGTGAGTGATCAAAGTGATAGTATTTAGTTAAAATGCGATAATAATAATCGTAATCATAAATTTCATACAACACAAATGTACAAATTTATAGATTTCTATATATAAGTAGTTTATAAGTAGTATAAATTCATAGGAATGATAATACTGTTTATATCGTTTTCTCTCTTTATTCTTATCTTTCTTTCTTTCTTTTTTATTTATTTTATTTATTTTAATAAAGGAATAAAACAAAATTAATGAACAAGTAAGTTGTTACTTTTAGATAATTTTAAAAAATCTTTTGTTACTACTGATAAAGAATCTGTAAGTAATACTGGTGATTCATGAGGAGATTGTGTTGAACTATTATTCATTGTCATCCATGTTGAAAAAAGGATGAATAGCAACTGGGAAAAAAGTGGAAAGGATTGCCAAGAAGAGATATGAATGGAGAATGGTGGCGGGCAGCCTATACTACTCGACGAGAGGTAAGATGAGTAAGTAAATAAGTAGATTCCCTCTGTTTGTTGATTAACCCCTATCGAGATTTGACACAGGTATCAGCTGTAATTTGTACTATCATGTCTCACAACTAATCTTTATTTTATTATTGCAGTAAGCCTTTTTAATTTCACACATACAGACGCGCTAATAGCCACAGATACCTCATAAGTTGAGGTTTATTAGTAATTTGTCTATTTCTCAATAAACAAATGTTATATTGTTATATTGTGAACTTTGGTTTCGCATGTATCTTAGTTGTGTGATCAGACACATCGGTATTCAAAAAAATACGAATTAATGGATAGTTGTTTCTTTCTAGTAAGAGATTACACTCATAACTCCACTAGGAATAACAACCGGGAGCTTCAATTCTATTGACTAATATTTGATCATTAGAACAATTGGTTGTGGGTCCATTAAAATTATGTTCCGTTCAGGATAGACAGCAACAATCATCTACTGTCATTCAATGAATACTTGTAAATAATTCTTTTTCATTGACGTAATAAAAATAAATATCAAATAAGTAAATTTCACTTACTTCATGTCGTTTACTTAACATTTTCATTAGACGTTTAGGCGGTGAAGCACACAATTCCGAAATAACCGATGATGTTTCATAATTTGATGATAATTTTTTAGGAGCAGTTTTTATTAGATTACGAACTCGATGAACAAGATCGGAAGACTAAAAATGTGTTTGCGCATGAAGAGAAAGAGAGAGAGTAAAATGAAGAGTAGTAATTGTACATTGAAGAGATCTAGAAAATTATGAAGAAAGTAGAAAAAAATTACATTACTGCATTAACCAATAGTACCAACGTGTCCCATTCCCAGTGGTAGACAAACCAAAATATGGAATCAGTGCACGGATCTATTTATTATTAGACTGGGCTATGTTGATAGGTAGGTGCAAACTACCTGATTGAGGTTCACATAATACCTGAGATCAGTAGCTAGAGATGTTTGGTGATATGGCTTAACATTTTTTCTGATGGTCAAAATGTATCCGTTATTTGACTTCGCTTAGATCCTGAAAAGTGAAATCACTCTCGAATTGTATTCTCTATGTCTGCTTTTTATTGCCACTGATATTACTACTACCACGACTACTACTCAGATCTCCCGCTTGGAAATTTCACTTAGTTGTTTTGATTCTTTGTTAAAAATTGTTCTGATGCATACATGTACCAGGTTCTACATCATCTGGATGGCCGTTTCATTCTACTGTGGGACTCTTCAGCAGTTCGCATCCATGACCAGTGCTTCTTGGTTTTCTATGGTGGTGGTCCAGCTTCAAATGACTCATGATCTCAACTAATAAAATTATAAGATTTCTATTTAACTTATTAATTGTTAGTGCTTTATTGTACCAGAATTATTGTTAATTAATTATGCTCTTACTACTGGACTGTTTTGTATTACTAATGGCTTAACCTGAGTTCGAATCCCACGAGGGAATTATGGATGCGCACTGCTGAGGAATCCCACAATAGGACAAAACGGCGTTTCAGTCCTTTCAGGTTTTGCATGATGATCTAACTTCAATCGACTCATGTCCTCAAGTAATAAAGTACTGCAATTTCCACAAAACCTTCTGATATAAAGCGAAATGTTAATAATTCAAATTCATCATCACATGAACAAATCATTCTTGGCAATTAAAAGAATTTCCGATGAGACCATAATTTATGGACGACCGTTGACCAACACTAAAGTGACCTTGAGAACGAACAACAACTAACTAGAACTAAATGAGAGTTATACACCAATGTGAAGGTTTACATCATAAATTCATATAAGTTATAATGCCAAAACTCTATTTAACCAAACTGAATGAATGAATTCGGCGCCGAGAATTCAAGGCCTGATTGGTTCATTGATAAATTATAGTTTCATCATTATTATCACAATAGTTCGCTAAATTTCATGGATTAGTTGAAGTTAGACGTTAACACCGTTGGATGCCGATCGGCTCAATGGTCTAGTAGTTAAGTGCTCACGCGCGAGATTGATAGATCCTGAGTTCGAACCTTGCGAGGCAAAGTCGTGGATGAGCACTGTTGAAGAGTTTCACAATAGGACAAAATGGTCATTTAGTGATTTCAAGTCTTCCATGGTGATCTAGCCTTCAAATGACTTTTATGATCTTAACCATTGAAAGTTCTATTGAAATAAAACAAAACATTAAACTTACTTCTGGAATATAAATTAATTTTCTATCTATATCATTCCCATATATAATACCATCAACACGTGTACCATATTCATTATAATTAATTAATTCATAATGTTGTGTCCAATCATCATAGAAGATTGTAGCATGATGTGATGATATAAATGAACATTTTTGATTATTTAATGAAGATAAATTATAATTAGCTAAACATAAATGACAATCTGGTGCTATAGAGAAAATGAAGTAAAAGAAAAAGAGAATGTAAATGAAATATATGATGTAATATATTAGTGAATAGTTTCTAATCAGTTACCAAGTATAAAGCCTCTCTGAATGCCCTGTTATGGTCGAAGGTTAGGAAAGTCAGCTATCCTTCTCGAAATGTTATCACATGATTATGTGTATACAACTACTGTAAGCGAAGTTCTACTCACTACCCTCTCATGACATTACTGTTGTTTACGAAATTGAGAGGACAGAAAGAGAATATCCGGTGACTGAACTGGATTGGTGGATATGGAAAATTCACCTAGGGGAGTTGGAAAACAGTGATTCCAAACCAATGGTGCACATCGGTTCCAGGAACGAATGGCGTATGAACTGATTATTGGTCACCGGCTACCGTATGACTGCATCTCCTGAAGTTGCTCCACTACCTTGTGGATTAGACATGTAAATCGAAGGCTCAGTGCGTGGCCCCCTAAGAAAATCGCCTGCCTCGGTTTGGGATACCGGATAAATAATACTGATGAACAGCCAATACTTCTCCACAAGGAGTAACAGGCGTAAATCAGCTACTTTCGAGTATATATTTTCTTTTGTTTATATAAAACGCCATATCTATCATCACATTGATTTATTATTATTATCCAATCAAATTGTTTTATCCAAATTAACAACTAAAAATAAAAATATGAAAATCAACATTTTAACCAATCAGAAGTTGATAAATTAAGAAATAACATTTAAAATATAACAGAATGGGTTTTGTGGAGAATTTAAGAAATTTCACAGGTTTAAATCATGAGTCAGTTGAAGCTAGACCACCATTGAAAACCTGGAAGCACTGGACGGCCGTTTCGTCCTGGTATGGGACGGTATGGTATACGGTGGCGCAACTTCGTGGATTGGTTGAAGTTAGACATTAACACCGTTGGATGCCGGCTCAGTGGTCTAATGGTTAAGTGCTAGTGCGTGAAGCCAGTAGGCCCTGGGTTCGAGCCCCGCGTGGTGCGGGATCGTGGATGCGCACTGCTGAGTCGTCCCATACCAGGACGAAACGGCCGTCCAGTGCTTCCAGGTTTTCAATGGTGGTCTAGCTTCAACTGACTCATGATTTAAACCTGTGAAATTTAAAATATACCTGGAAACAACAGTTAAATGGATAGATTCCTTTAAGCATGTATCTATGCATGTATGTATATATGTCTGTATATTTGTATGTATTTGTGTATGTGTGTGTATCTATGTAGGTATGTGATGAATACATAACATTGTCCTGTTTACTAATATTTAAACTCACTATTATCATCATATTCATTTAACTATTATTTATTCATTAAATATCCTGATTGTTACTATGGTATATGAATCAATTCTATTGTGTTATAGCTACAATCCTCATCATTATCCCATAATGATTACGTAACTCTCAATTTATAATAAATATGCCTGTACAAAGAACAACAAAAACACACACACACACAAATACATAACAACCATATTTACAACGTGCTTTAATGTTGACTACATACTTTTTTAATAACGAATTCATATATTTTCATGGAAAACATAAAAGTTTCTATCATTCACATGATTCAACACAGATCTTTATCTGGAACGTATAATGATTGAATTATTAAACAAGGAAGTAATTTATATACACCGTTAGATGTCGACCAGCTCAGTGGTCTATAGGTTATAGGCACTTGAGTGTGAGATCATCATCACTGGATTCACTGCTTCTATGAATTCGATGTTCATCTTGATATACTAATGACAACTTGGATCGATACATATGTATACCATTGGTCTTACGTTGTATCTGACTAACTGACTGAACTGAACTGATCAATTCATTACCGTAATTGATATTTTGAAAAATTGAGAGTTTTCTACTAGTCACTAATCCTCGTATACAATGGTCGATTTAAATCACGTTGTTGAATAACTGCATTGAAAATTGGTCAAATATGAGAATGGATTTCGATTACGTATATTTTGTGCACTGATTGATCTGGATAGACAATCAGAGGAACGAATCGAAACAATGTGTAAGTGATATGACGTGTAAGCCACATCAATCTAATCAAGCATTAATTGATATTCATAGTCAAATCAATAATAAGTTAAAGAAATGTGATGAATTGGCATAAGAAGATGCAGTCACATACCCTCACATGAATACGGTGAAGGTTGATAAACGAATGCTGAACAGGGTCAGAACGTGACTCGACAAGCATGAATAAATTGCCTTACATGGAACCTATAATAAACTATATGGGTTTGACCTATCAACCAACACTATACTTTCAATTCTCGTAGTAAGACAAAACCGTAGTCTAATGGTTTTTGATTGGTTAGAGTCTTGAAGTGATAGATGAACACTGGAATGTAGATCTATCTAGTTGATGAGTCTTAAATGGAACGAAACCTGTGTCCTGCATTTCATTACTAGTCACTTACTATCTTTGTTCAGAATGTTTGTGAATTGAGGTGATATCGAGGTAATCCGTATAGGATGCACATATGTTAATAAGAGATTGATAAACTGCAGTGCTCAACAACAATGAGAAGATTGAAGTAAAATAATACCAAGTTAATTTAAACTTACTCTCATTGCACAACCATGTGGCTTTCAGGATTCAATAGCTAAGTGGATAACGCACTTATTTATTCAAAAATGAAGAATGTTTAAGCGAACAACTGCTTTTAATAATTTCATCATCAGGTTCTATACAGTTATAAGTCCATTATTATAATATTTTATAAAAGCCAAAATTAAGGCATGGCAATAATGAATTTCACAATGTTATGCGTTAAAAAATGTTGAACGTTTCCATCTGTTACGATATATTTGGATGTGCATTGCTGAGGAGTCCCACAATAGGACGAGACGGCCGTCCAGTGCTTCCAGGTTTTCCATGGTGGTCTAGCTTTAACTGGCTCATGATCTTAACTATTGAAATTACTATATTCTCCACAAAACCCCTTCTGATATATCTATATACTTGAAAATTGTATTATTTGCAAATTAGAAAAGTCATTCATTAAAGGTCAAGATGATTTGGGAGTAAAATGTTCAGTCACAATAAGTGAAGAATAGTATTATAGCAAAGTTGAAAATGCAAAAAAATGTTTTGTGTGAATAAAATGCGCTCAAACCTTCTGGAACGCATATCCCTCGACTATATGGCCTACCTAAGATTCACAAACTTAATGTTCCTTTACGCCCGATACTGGATATGGCAAATTCTCCATACCATTCAACAGCAAAGTGGTTAGTCAAGTTATTAGAACCATTGCACCAAGAACTTGTTAAGCGTGGTGTTAATGATATCTTTGAATTTGTTGATACGATTAAAAAAATTAATATAAATGGCAAAGCCATGCTGTCACTAGACGTAACATCTTTGTAAGTTTTGATCGACTTACATGTACACAAATAAAACGACTACGGAGGATGAAGGAAAGAATGTACAAGGTGAAGAACTATAATGAAGTTTGAAAGCTAAATCGTCTGATAAACCTAGAGATTAGACGTCTCAACTGTATGTTTACTCAAAAATTCCTGTAATGCAAAATCTCTTTAAAGAACTTACAGGTGACAGACAGTTTAGAAGCGATAACCAGCTGAATGTTTGTGACCTAAATAAGTCTGTTGTACGTCAGTCATTTGATGTAATGCTTCCTTCATCCACAGGTGTAAAGAATAACTGTGTTCCTAGTTACACCGAAACTGATGTCCAAAGATGTCTCCAGTCACTGAATTCATCCCGATATTAAGGACCTGATGGTATCCCTAACCTCCTTTCTAAAAAATGTGCTGACGTCCTATGTTATCCGTTCACAACTATCTTTAACAAATCCTTCTCATCTAATCTCATACCGAATATGTGGAGAAAGATGAAGATAATTCCTGTACCCAAGAAAGCATCTGGTGATAAGAATGTAAAATTTAGACCCATTGCAATGACTTCACCCTTCCTCAAAACAATGGAAAAATATTAATACTTCCACTTCAGCCGACGATAGAAGAGCATATTGATACGTATCAGTTTGTCTAAAGACGCAAAGGAAGCACCTTAGATGCTGTTGCTGTTCTGCATCACAACATAGTGTTCAAACTAGAAAGGGGTAAGAAGTATGTTAGATGTGCTTTTATGGAATATACTTCAGCTTTTGATTCTATACCAAGACAACGTTCACTTAATCTGCGTCAACACTGACGGCTGGATAACCAAATGATTATGTTCCTACCTCTCTGGAAGGGTGCAGTACGCTGTATTTGGAAGAAAGTGTTCAGAGTCTCTACTGTCTCATAAAGGTGTACCATAAGGAGCTGTTCTTTCACCTCTTCTTTTCTCTTTTTTTCTGCATGATCTGCCATCTTTCACAGAAAACACTTTTGTGAAATATGCGGATGATCTCACTATATGTATACCTATCTCTTCCTCTTTACATCCCACAGAAATGAATGAGTTTTTGTCTCGTATTGATTGTTGGTCTGGTGGTAATGGTCTCATACTTAATCCCTCTAAATGTCAAGCTGTTAACTTTAGCATGAGACATGAACGGAACCTAAACACTATTTTGAGATCCCATAATGCTTTTACCATCGGAGACTCTTTGATAAACTCAGTGTCGAAGGTCAATTATATCGGTGTCACCTTTTCCTCTGATCTGTCTTGGTCTTCTCACAATTTATTGTTATCGAAGAAGGTTTTCCGTCTGACTTACTACATAAATAGATTGCAAGCTCTTGGGATTACTCGTAATTTACTCTTACAATTTGTCAATTCTTGCATATTACCTATTATTCTTTACTGTTTCCATTATTCTTTCTCGGGCTATTGAGAAAAGAGTTTGTTGTATTGCGGAGAGTGCTAAAGGCATTTATCAATGTGTGTGGTGAGTCTTTCTTGGTCATAATTAATATGGTTGTGGGCAGACATTTAATGTCTTGCAAACTACTGGCAAGTGTTATTTTATCAGATACTAATCAACCCCCAGACTCTTATCTTTCTCTTTGTATATCTTCTGGTTGAACGAGACGTAATTACATTAAAGTTCATGCACGCAAGCAAAAGTATAAAAGTTCTATAATACCTTACCTAGCAAATATACACAGTGAAGAACAGGTTGTTAGAGTTAACCTTGACAATAACCCACCTTCCTAACATGTCTCTAATTTGAAAATTTGTACAGTTTTTCAGATTTCTTTTTTTAAACTTTTTCTCCTTATTCTTCTCTTTGTTTCTGGTTTTTCGTGCAAGAAACTTGTTGAAATACTCTGTACTGAGAATTTCTATTTTGTATCAAAATATAATAAAGAATAAAACTATTGATATAACGCTCGGATCCACTTGGTCTACATGTTTGGGACTTTAATTTATTTTAGACGAATATCTACGGTAGATTCCCTCCCAGTGTCTATTCTACAGGACCTCAACACAATTCAGATTAATAATACGTGATGAGCCTGACTAGTACGTAAATATATTTTTACATTGAAAGGCCGACACCATCCAACATTAACGAACAATCAATAATAAGTGATAATAAGGATAGTGGAACAAAAAACTCATCTTACATCTGACAAACTATCTACATATGTGACTAAGCAAACATCCAATCCTTATCATACTGACCTGCACATCAAAAGCACTGTGAAGCTCTCATACGTTTGCTTGCATACATGGATTCTAATGTAATGACATCCCGTTCAACCTGAAGATATACAAGGGGAAAGATATGAATGAAGGGGATTGTTAGTATCCGATATGGGAACATCTGCCAGGCCTTAGGAAGACATTGGATGTTTATCTACAATCGTATTAATATTGATCTCAAAAGAATAACCAAATATCTTGCTAACTGCCTTCAACACTCCTCGCAAAACAGCCGGAGAACGGATAATGCAGAACACTAAAGAATAATAGATTACATGCAAGAACCCACAAATTTTACGTCCAAATTGAGTACATACAACACATTTGCTAGTAACAATGTGAAAAATACACATGAAGTTATAAATAGAGACTGACAAATGAATTTTAATCGAAATCTTACTTATCCTAAGCAGATTAGTTTTCTTCTCATAATTGGGTACTGATCAACGGCACAAAGTGTACAATGTATCATTGAAATTAATTTTGATGTTGATTCATTCATGAAATGACACAACAATATTTTGTTCCAGTACAGACTGTAGTGCTCGAGGAAACGCCATTTTGATTCCAGTGAAAACCCTTCTAAAGTAAAACAACAGAACTCTAAAGTATCAAGAGAAAACATATCTGCACACTCACCCTTGACATTATCTAATCACAGTGATTTACTCGTATACTTCAACTCAGATGACAATTCATACAAGCTCAAATGATATATATGTCAATAATAAATTGAAATATGAAGATGGAAATTATTCCTTCCTTTGTGTGTTAACAAATTTATTAGTTATCAGATACAATAATCACTGTTGTAACTACAAATCTGTGTCTGGTACAAGAAATCGTTCTGAATGTTCTACAGTACACTTTTGACGGAATGCATTGCATCTTTATTATTACAATATTTGACTACCTTAATCTATGTACCTGGACAATGTAAGTTCCACTTCTACATGATCGCTACGAAATTTATTTCTTCTTATTATCCCAACGCCTATTAATATATAGTGGTTTAATATAGTGGTCAAACAGAATGGATGTGACTTCGTTTCATTTAAGATCAATGAGGAAATCGCCTTACAGAATTTTTATTGAAATAAAATTCAAGTGTAAAATTGTAAATACTGACATCCAATCAAAAGAGTTTGTGTCACTGTGATTTTAACCAATCAAATCAAAACAATCCACCAGTGATAAACAATTAACAGGTAATTACAGGCAACAATCTGTTTGTTCGTAAACACATGAGGGCATATTTTGAATAACAAGTTGATGAATCACCACTTTGAAATTATTAGTAATGACATCCAGGAGGACTTTCATCAATAAGGGTCAGGATATTGCAGGAATGGTGAGTAAACGATAGCTCAGGTTCTCGAAATGGAGGGAAGAAAATTGACTAATGACCAGTTCTTCCACCACGATGATTGGTTAACAATGTACATATGATCTTAGTAAATTTAATCTTCTTAATAGTCACTTTGAATCATCGAATCAGAATAAAACATTGAAGCACTTAAAAGTCTATAAAAGCTTGACAACTTTCAGTAAAATTTGATGCACCACATTGAACGAGATGATGAGGTGAGAGTTGACCAAACATACGAAGTGAATCAGCCAGTCATATGAACACAAATAACACTGTTTCATTAACATGGATCATTTTACATACAAATTTCCGTACAATCTATTGATATGGTTTTATTTGGTCTTGAAATTGTCTTCCCAATTCTACGACTGTCAAGAAATCTGTAAACAGCCGGATTGGAAGAACTAAACACAAGTGATTTTTGAGAATGATTCATTTCGATATGTAAGTAATCAGTCAGATTCTAATAGACATTACTCACAAAGAATAAGTCTCAATCAGCCTCATACAGTTGTGAATGGCAGATTTGTTTAATTCTAGTTTCATCATGTGAGTGGATCACATTTTCTAATGGAGCTATTAATCCATATGTTTACATCATTTTATTCTGTGAAAGCACAAATACCATTGAAATATTATGATGAAAATGCAGATGGATTAATGGTTTGATTTGATGGTAAGTCAGTAAGTTTCTTCGACCTAAAATTGTCACTGAGATTTCTCGATCACGATTTATTCCATGAATCTGAGATGGTCACTGTGTTCAGCAAACCAGCTTTTTACACTTAGTGACATTCATAGCATCTTTGCACCATCTGACAGCGATTAATTCTTCTGAAATAATGAAAACAAGAATAGGTAATGAAATATCTGTATAATGAATATGCATCTCTTTCAATAAATGAACGTTTAAACACAGACTGACTTTGCATACAAGTTATCATGCCTATTCTCAGAGTTACATGTATGGTGATATGGTCAAATGCTCAACTCTTATGACAAAATTTCAAAGAACATTGTCTCTTCAACGACAGGATGAACGTTTCAATCCAGTCAACTCAGAAAAATATTTCATCTCTTTAAAAGTTATTTTAAAAGCATCTGACTGAGTGAGAGTCATCTAATATCTATCTTACAGTAGTCTAACAAAATCATTACCGGTCATTCAGTAATTCATCAATTTGAACAGCTGACCGAAATGAATGTGTGTGAAATTGATGTTCTAGGTGTTCAATTTCGAGTGAAACATGTTGTTGAAAATACGATGGTCATCAGACAACGACTCAGAAAGAATAAAATTTATAAATCAAGTTTATGATAGAGAAGTATCAGAGGACATGAAATATGATTTGATAGTTTGTAGGATTCACAAGTTCACACGGACGTCACTCACAACATCGCTTATTGTTGTACATTTGCTCAATTTGATTCACTTAATCTGAAGAAAAGTGTCGTGTCTGTGAGATAATCTTTATACAAATTGAATGTGAGTAAAGTAAATAAAACAAACTTCAAACTGAATAATGTAAGAGCTCACTCGTTTGCAAAACCCCGAAGTTAAGAGACGATATTTTTCTTAAACGACTTGTGATTTATTCCAATCTTGTATGTGTTCTTATATACAAATATTTTGTTAGTGAAAATATGCAAAGAATCTATGAATGTGACTAACTGTATAAAGCTGGTTTGCTGAACACAGTGACCATCTCTGATTCATGGAATGAAACGCGACCGAGAAATCTCAGTGACAATTTTAGGTCGAAGAAACTTACTGACTTACCATCAAATCAAACCATTAATCCATCTGCATCTTCATCATAATATTTAAATAGTATTTGTGTTTTGACAGAATAAAATGATGTAAATATGTGGATGAATAGCTCCATTAGAAAATGTGATCCACTCACGTGGTAGAACGAGAATTCAACAAATCTGCCATTCACAACTGCATGAGGCTGATTGAGACTTATTCTTTGTGAGTAATGTCTATTAGAATCTGACTGATTACTTACATGTCGAAATGAATCATTCTCAAAAATCACTTGTGTTTAGTTCTTCCAATCCGGCTGTTTACAGATTTCTTGACAGTCGTAGAATTGGGAAGACAATTTCAAGACCAAATAAAACCATATCAATAGATTGTACGGAAATTTGTATGTAAAATGATCCATGTTAATGAAACAGTGTTATTTGTGTTCATATGACTGGCTGATTCACTTCGTATGTTTGGTCAACTCTCACCTCATCATCTCGTTCAATGTGGTGCATCAAATTTTACTGAAAGTTGTCAAGCTTTTATTGGCTTTAAAGTGCTTTGTTGTCTTATTCTGATTCGATGATTCAAAGTGACCATTAAGAAGATTAAATTTACTAAGATCATATGTACATTGTTAACCAATCATCGTGGTGGAAGAACTGGTCATTAGTCAATTTTCTTCCCTCCATTTCGAGAACCTGAGCTATCGTTTACTCACCATTCCTGCAATATCCTGACCCTTATTGATGAAAGTCCTCCTGGATGTCATTACTAATAATTTCAAAGTGGTGATTCATCAACTTGTTATTCAAAATATGCCCTCATGTGTTTACGAACAAACAGATTGTTGCCTGTAATTACCTGTTAATTGTTTATCACTGGTGGATTGTTTTGATTTGATTGGTTAAAATCACAGTGACACAAACTCTTTTGATTGGATGTCAGTATTTACAATTTTACACTTGAATTTTATTTCAATAAAAATTCTGTAAGGCGATTTCCTCATTGATCTTAAATGAAACGAAGTCACATCCATTCTGTTTGACCACTATATTAAACCACTATATATTAATAGGCGTTGGGATAATAAGAAGAAATAAATTTCGTAGCGATCATGTAGAAGTGGAACTTACATTGTCCAGGTACATAGATTAAGGTAGCCAAATATTGTAATAATAAAGATGCAATGCATTCCGTCAAAAGTGTACTGTAGAACATTCAGAACGATTTCTCGAACCAGACACAAATTTGTAGTTACAACAGTGATTATTGTATCTGATAACTAATAAATTTGTTAACACACAAAGGAAGGAATAATTTCCATCTTCATATTTCAATTTATTATTGACATCTATATCATTTGAGCTTGTATGAATTGTCATCTGTGTTGAAGTATACGAGTAAATCACTGTGATTAGATAATGTCAAGGGTGAATGTGCAAATATGTTTTCTCTTGATACTGTAGAGTTCTGTTGTTTTACTTTAGAAGGGTTTTCACTGGAATCGAAATGGCGTTTCCTCGAGCACTACAGTCTGTACTGGAACAAAATATTGTTGTGTCATTTCATGAATGAATCAACATCAAAATTAATTTCAATGATACATTGTACACTTTGTGCCGTTGATCAGTACCCAATTATGAGAAGAAAACTAATCTGCTTAGGATAAGTAAGATTTCGATTAAAATTCATTTGTCAGTCTCTATTTATAACTTCATGTGTATTTTTCACATTGTTACTAGCAAATGTGTTGTATGTACTCAATTTGGGCGTACAATTCGTAGGTTCCTGCATGTAATCTATTATTCTTTAGTGTTCTGCATTATCCGTTCTCCGGCTGTTTTGCGAGGAGTGTTGAAGGCAGTTAGCAAGATATTTGGTTATTCTTTTGAGATCAATATTAATACGATTGTAGATAAACATCCAATGTCTTCCTAAGGCCTGACAGATGTTCCCTTATCGGATACTAACAATCCCCTTCATTCATATCTTTCCCCTTGTATATCTTCAGGTTGAACGGGATGTCATTACATTAGAATCCATGTATGCAAGCAAACGTATGAGAGCTTCACAGTGCTTTTGATGTGCAGATCAGTATGATAAGGATTGGATGTTTGCTTAGTCACACATGTATATAGTTTGTCAGATGTAAGATGAATTTTTTGTTCCACTATCCTTATTATCACTTATTATTGATTG